CGATCATCAACAATGACTTATAATTATGATAATAAATTGTATTATATTTTAAAAAATAATTTTAAACACAACTTTCATTGAATTTAAGAGGTATATTACATTTAATTTAACAAAATTAACGTAAGGGGGTATATAATGAGAATGATCTAAACATAGGGAGCAACTAATTGATTTTTGAAAATGCAAGGTTGCATTAATAATTACGATATAACCTCAGGGAGTTAAAAATAATTTTCCCTTAGAACCTTTTCACTTTAGTTTTACATTTTTATTAATTAATCAATTAGATGTTGGATTTGGAGTGTTGCCGTATTTGTGTACTAGCTTTCAAGCCCGTGCGATGCACGGGCAGATGTAATTTAGCTAATTTGAAATTTGATTTCTTTCGGATCATATGTAATGTGATTTAAAAGAAAAATAAACTTAGTCTAATATAGAGCCTCTTTGATAATACTAAAATAAATTGAATTAACTTATTTTACTCAAATTGATTAAATTATGACTGAATGGGCTAAATGAGTGGAATCATGAAAAACTATGTAAAATATATTCCATTTGTGAAGCCAGAAAAAGATTATATGAAAAATAGTTAAATTGTCTTCTACATAAGCATCTCGAGTAAATATAATTGCTATGAACCCGATTTTAAATGTTTAATATAATCTTATAAGATGGATATTCATAGAAATTTAATACGGAGTATATATTAAGTAAAATAGTCTAAATATAGAACCTGTTTTTTTAAATTGTAAGCCTAAACGTATAAACGTATACTATAACATTTAATTGTTATAATGGAATTAAAACGTATAATTCTAACACATAATTCTAAGCCTAAACGTATACTATAACATTTAATTGTTATAGAAATTAAAACGTATTATATTTTTGGCTAAGAATACCTGTCATATATAAACTTAGCCTAAAATAGAGCCTGTTTAATATAGTACTTTCTACGGATTTTTGTTTCCATATCAATATGCAATCAAACATAGAATCTAGCTAATAAAAATAGAAGGTACAAATTAACTAAATACTTAATATATATAATGACATGGCAGGATTATGTGGCGCTCTGTATGCTCTTAAAAAGTTCCTCTTTTATATATATATATTGATTTTTGTATTCATTCAATCATTGTATATTTGTATTGTATAGTTTACATTTTAATTTTTATATTAAAAATAAAAATGTTATTTAGTTGATTATAATGTTATTAATTTATTATAGGATTATTTATTTACATCAATTAGAGTCAATATTTTAGAGGAATCATTTAATTTAATTAATGAGTTACTTAAATAGTTATACATCTTTTATTCTATTAGTGTAATGCTTTACACTATTAGAAAATAGATAATGTTATTTAGTAAGTTAGAAAACTAAATGTAAATCATATGTTACTTTAAGTAGTTAAATAAAATGTACTAATGTATTAAAAAAGTTAATTTATAATTAACATCTTTTCCAGATTCAATGAAGAGATATTGGGCTATCGTTCATTCATCAACAGGGGGCCAGCCTAAATTTTAAAATTGTCTAAATTTTTAGTGTAAAAAATTTCGTGTAAAATTTTTCTCAAAAATATTCTTTATATCGGCTCAGTGCGGCCTAGTGCCCTGACTACGCCTCTATTCACCAACATCGAATAATGATGGACACAAGGAAACATCTTTCACATCCTTTAGGGTATAAGCTTTAAAGCTAGGATTGACCTTGCTAGTTGCCACAACAACCGTAGAGAGATGCTTTTCCGCTATGAAAAAAGTCAAGATTAATTTGCAACGTAAAAGTTGACAATAATGAATCTCTTCCAAAGATGAAAACACAACGCAAACAATTGAGATGTATTTTGTTAATCTTTTTATTATGAGCAATTCTTGTTGTACACGAAATACAGACATCCACGTTTTTACACTTTCTGTGAAAGCTATTTTTTGTTTGTGAAAACATTGTGCACAGACAAACCAACAGGATTGTTTCTGCATAGTATTTTCACATACAAAAAAGTAGCCTTCACAGACAATTTAGAAACGTGTATGTTTGTATTTCGTGTACAAAAGGTTTTTTTCTTTTATTATCGTAATATTACATTAATACATTATTATTGCAATATTGCTCCGTATTTTTTCAATTCCTTTTTTTAGAGAAAATTGCCATGGCTAAGACAAAAACATAGGTTTTTTCCCCAAATGGGACTTAATGTTTGGTTTTCCCAAAATAGGATTAACCTTACCTTTTTTACCCCTAATTCTATTTAATTAATTAATTGATCTAAATAATTGCTCCCTAGTTTCCTTGCACAACCAAGGCAGTCCGTCGGTGGCGGGGCAATCCGTGGTGGCGGAAGCACTCCGGCATCTGGTTGGCGGCGGATTCCGGCGGCGGCGGCGGCGAACTCCGGCAATTAAGTAACCCAATTAATTGCCCTAGGCATGGCCTCGGGCCGGTTCGGGCCTGGGCCCGGCCGGTTCACGGTTCAGGATATGGGAGGCTCGGAACCGGTCCGGGTAACCCCCGGGTCCGGTTCGGGCCGGGCCGGGCCTCGGTCCAATCTATTTTTTTTTTTGGCTTCTCCTAATTAACTCCCAACCTCCCCCCTCACCCCCAAACCACCTCAAATGGCCCAAAATACCCAGCCCAACCCAAAAACTTAAAAAAAAACTCAAATATAAAAAAATAAAAAATTAAATTTGGCCTGGATCGGGCCCGAACCGGCCGGGTCGGTTCACCATTCCTAGGGCCCGAACCGTATGACTAGCGGGCCGGGTCGACCCGAACCGCCCTATGGCCCGGTTCCCGGGCCGGGCCGGTTCAAACAGTGACCGGTCCGGGCCGGTTCCGGGGCGGGCCGCCCGGCCCGAGTCCATCCCTAAATTGCCCCCCAGTTCTCTTTCACAATCAAGACAGTCCGTTGGTTGCGGGGCAGTCCGGTAGTGGCGGCAGCTCGGCGGCGGCAGATTCCGGCGGCGGTAGCGGCCTGTTGGAAGAAAGAAGTATAAGAGTATTATATTTAGGTGATTGTGTGTGGAAGAGAGAATTTTAGAGAGAGATGATTTTGGAAGAACTTGGAACTTTTATTAAATTGGAGCTTTGGCTTGTGTTACAAATGAGTGAGGAGTACTCTATTTATAGGTCTCATAGGATCCTTCTAGGCACTTCTATATCCTAAGCATTCCACAATGTTCTATAGGATTCTAGCTTAGGAATATTCTAGAATTATTTAGGTACATAATTAACTAAAGAGTACTCTAGACCTTTCTTTACTAAGTTTAACTTGTGGGCTAGCTAATTTATAATTTCTCATACAACTACTAGCCCAATAAGTTACTCCCTCCGTCCCAAAATTATTGTCCTGTTTGCTTTTTCACAAAGATTAAGAAAATGACACTGTAGCGACACTGTTTGGCACTGTAGCGACACTGTTTGGCACTGTAGCGACCCTGTTTGGCACTGTAGCGACACTGTTTGGCACTGTTTTGCACTGTTTGGTATAAATTTCTTTACCAAATAAGGAAGTTAAAGAAACGGGACAATAATTTCGGGACGGACCGAAAAGGAAAGCGGGACAATAATTTTGGGACGGAGGGAGTAACTTCTAATGGACCCAATTATTAGGCTAAACGAAGTTTAATTTCTAACATCCCCTCTTAAACTTGACTTCGTAACACCAAATAGATTCTGCATGTTTGCAAAGACATCATGCTTGAGTGGCTTTATGAAAATATCAGCGACTTGGTCTTGAGTCTTCACATACTCTACTTGAACTTCCTTCTTCACTATCTTTCCCCGGATGAAATGATACTGAGTGTCTATGTGTTTACTTCGATCATGAAACAATGGATTCTTTGCTAATGCAATAGCTGACTTGTTGTCCAAAAAGGTTGTTGTTGCTTCTTCTTGAGACATGTCGAGAGCTTGCAATATATAGCGGAGCAAAATTGCATGACAAACACTTGATGTTGCTGCAATGTACTCGGCTTCACAAGTAGATAGGGTGATGATCAATTGCTTCTTTGAAACCCATGTGAAAGCGGTGTTTCCCATGTAGAACACAAACCCAGTTGTGCTCTTGCGGTCATCAATATCTCCACCCCAATCACTATCGCAATATCCAACCAGCTTAAACTCATCAGATGTAGAGTAAAATAACCCATACTCGGCGGTGCCTTTGAGATATCGCAAAATCATTTTTGCGGTCTTCAAATGAGTTGTTGTGGAGGCCTCTATGAATCGACTAACAAGTCCAACACCGAAGAGAATATCCGGTCTTGTACATGTTAAGTATCTTAAGCTCCCCACAAGACTCTTAAAGTAAGTTGGATCAATCAATTTTTCTTTATCATACCTTGATAGCTTTAGTCCACTTTCAACAGGTGTACTTACAGGTTTGGAGTCCTCCATGTTGAACTTCTTGAGTGATGAATATGTCATCATCCATTTGCTTCACCTCGATGCCAAGATAGTAACTCATAAGCCCAATGTCAGTCATCTCGAACTCCCTTGTCATGACTTGTTTAAATTCATCGAACATCGTCATGTTATTACCTGTAAAGATGAGATCATACACGTATATTCACACGAGCAATATGTCTCCTTGGTGATTTTTCTTTACATATAGAGCATGTTTTTATGGACACTTCACGAAACCATTAGCGTGGAAGTATTTTTTTTAGCTTGGAAGTATTGATCAATTCTACTATTCCAAGCTCTCGGTGCTTGTTTAAGCCCATAAAGAGCCTTTCTTAACCTCAACACTTTACCTCTTGCCTTTTTTGAGCCTCCATATCTATCTGGACTTCCGGAGGAGCAAGGGCAACAACTGCCAACAACTTCAACAAATTGCAAGTTTGGTTCCCCAGCAAGTTTCCTAGCAAGGTAGAGCCGTAGAGGAAAGGCTTCTCAGAGTAAAATTCATTCTTTCGAGGATATTATCATCATCGAGAACTTTTGAACAACACCAAATCCTCAATGAAAGTAATCACACATTCAAGGTCAAATGCAACTTAGGTGTGGGGAGGAAGGGGGTACAGCCGAAAGATTTGTTTTACTTATACACGGGATAAATGTTTTGTAACAAACATTGTTACAGCTCTCTTTCCATTAATCATAATTACATATATTGATATTGGTATCCTCAATTTACATAAAATCCATGGATAGTGTATGTATCTGAATATTCCCATAATCCCATATATATCAAACATCGTGTAATATGCAGCTACATGTCATATAGAGGGCATTTGGAGAGGAGAAATTTTGGGTCTTCCAAGAAAAAAGACAAGGAAGCCTCACTATGTTCAACAGTACTTGTGGTACAATGTTGTCAGCCAAACTGCCCGCTGACCGACCCAGCAGTAAAATTAATCTTCTTTGATGAAGGTTTGTGGCTTACTGCTCGCAAAAGCCAACCATACAATTGTACCAGTAAGGTAGAAGAAGATCGAAGGTGCAAACAAAGATATCTGCAATTGCATTACAAACACCAAAAAACTCAATAAGAAGATGAACCTCAGGGTCTCAGACAGCAAAATTTGACAAGAGAGGTGGGAACCTACACTCCATGAGTGAGTCCAGTCAAGAAGATAACCCGTAAGAGCAACACCAACAATACCAGGCACCGCCCCAAATGTGTTTGTTATACCCTATATGCACACGTGTCACCTTTGAGAGCAGACTCAAAATATTCTAAACTTGAATTCATGAGATTCTGTATCTCTAAAATCACAATGTACTGTCATTTATGAATTATACCTTCTCCACTTCAGTTTCAGAGAGTAGATGTTGAAGAATTCACCACACATGGCTAAATACCAAGTATAAAATATAAACTAGCACATAACTTAAGTCAATCGCCTTTTTACTTTTTAGGGTGGAACCCTAAGTCTTATTATAGCACTAGTTTTCCAGATTAGTAATCATGATGGGAGTCTGAAAAAATGAAACAAAAAGTGCATGATCAAGAAGTGCAGGTCAGCGATGGTAAGGTAAGTGGCCTTAAGAAAAGTGGGGAAAAGGGGCAGATTAGCCACTATTGCAGGGGTAAAAGTGCAAATAAGACACTAACCTTTTTTTTATGTGCAAATAGCATTAAATTGAATACACAATTGGCATTCTTGCCACCCACTAACAGAAGGTAACAAACGGGTTACAAACAGAGCTTCTTATGTTATTCCACTGGACATAACAAATTTACTTCCTCATCTTACGTCTTATTCCACCTTACCCCATCGTAGGTGGGAGCCTTTGCGGCACTGGGGTAAATGAAAATGAAAATGATGATCTTACGTCTTATTCCTAAAATTTACAGGAGTATTTCAAAATCCCTAAGACTATGGGAATGCTTGGTTCGAGTTCCATAGCTAGAAATCGGCCATCATGTAGTCCTTTTGAGGTAATAACGGAGCATATGTCTACTTAAATGGCATCTTAAGCCATGGAACTGTATTTAACTCATAAAATTCAGTAAAATCACTGTTGCTCCGAATCATTGTCATATAAAGTGCTAACTGATATGAGCTAGCAGGTATTAAAGAATATTAATCAAATTATGCTCTAATTAAACTATACTCTGTATTATATTATAAATATAAATTTCTTTCCTTTAAAATTAATGTCTAATTTAGTTACCACCACCAATGGCCTCATGACTGGTAATAGTCTGCAAGCAATGATATCAACCACGCAATTTTGTTGCTACCGTCAATTTACTTACCTCCATTTGTTGCTTCTTAGTGGGTGGCTAGAATGCCAATTATGTATTCAATTTAATGTTGTTTGCACCTAGAAAAAGGTTAGTGACTTATTTGCACTTTTACCCATACCATAGTGGCTAATTTGCGCTTTTCCCAGAAAAAATACATGGCTCAAAGGAGATGTTTGACTGTGAGAGTATTGAAAATTTTGTTAAATATAAAACAATAAACTAGCATATAGGACCTTGGACTACAATCCGGGAAATGGGACCCCAAGCTTTAATACTAAAGTTACACATTATCCACTCAAACAAATGCCCATTTTGGATATTTCCGTATTCTTGAAAACCAAAGAAGTAATCAATTTCCATCAACCAATATGTATTAGACCTTCTCTATTTCTCGAATGTTATTAAAGTTTGACATAGTTTTTATTCTGATAGGTAAAGAGGTTTTAAGATGGCTAGTTTTATCTTTTACTGCAGTAAGAGGCCATACTAAATTTGAAGACATGCTGCTTACTAGAGGGAGAGATTGAGGGAGAGGGAGAGAGATGATTGAATATTTACAATATGAATTGTTGATATACTACATACCAGAAGTATGCTTGCATATTCAGGTGAAATATCTTGATGGGTGCAATATAGTCCTGCAACCGTAAAAGTAACAAAAGAGGTCAAACTTCCTAATGACAGAAGAGAACTCCTCCCTCTATAATTAGTTACACAATAAATATCCCTAGAAGAACAATGCACTACCTGATAATGCAAAACTTGAAAGGGCTAAACCTCCTGTGAGAATTGCTACAACTTCCCAATGAGGGAAGCCGAAATCCACTGATGAGAGAATCATGCATGTTGCAGGGGATAAAAATGCAATTGTCTGGCAAATTTTACGCACCTGTCAATTGAGAAGGAGATATAATTATAAAATTTGCAGACATTTCAAATCCAACTCTGCCGTAACAAGAATCTGCTAAACTATCAGAACTAAGAAGTGCTGAAACAAATGAAAACAAAAGATATGAGAAAGAGCAACAGTAAACATATTTTATTACATACTCCCAGTCCCCCACTATCCCGTTTAGTCTACCCCAAAATAATGTTCACTTTCCGATTTAAAATCCAAGAAATTTTTACTTTTCCAGTTTATCCTGTTGTCTATTTACACTTTCCAATTCATAAGGTATAAATTGTAAAGTAGCTGACATCTTTATTTCTTATAAGGCATGCCAAAACCCTGATGTATTTGCACTTTAAGTTAGTAGATCAAAAAAGATCAACTAAGCATACACTTTTTGGAGCAGAAATTAAGAAAAGTGAAGTACCACTGTGATTTCTACGCCTTTGGTGATCAAACTGTCAGCTAATTGTGCTGCAATGGTGGTGACAAAGATTGAAGCTAATGGAGGAAAAACTGAGACCTGCAAACAAAAACAACAAAACATTGCAGATGAAATTTGAACCAAAAGCGTCGAAACATTCAAATATGCTCCATAAACAACTGGATAGTGAGCATCTGCAATATTACAATTTTGATAGAACTTTTATTTATTAGATAAATGAAAATCAAAACCCATTATTGTATTGTTAACTTTGACTCAAAAATGAAAAGACCTACAAGCATTAGCAAACATTGTTTTAGACTGAAACATAATACCGATGCAAATATAGGTAGGCAGCATATCAAAAGGCAGAATGGTGTCATTTGACATTACGATTTTTATCTCTTCAAAATATAACAAACGTGAACCATACCGCACTTCCCTTCTCTGAAAATCAGACTACACCATACACATTTGTGATGTATCTAGTATTGGAACATATACATAATGTAGGTTGTAACTTGTAACAATAAAAGCACAGAAATATGATTTTTGCTCTTTGACATTTGCAATGGTACAAGCAAAAAGGTACATTACTTACCCCTGCTGCTTCTGTCAAATTAAGGTTCAGCTCCTCACTGCAGGACAAGAAAATTGAAGAGTCTATGTTAAAATATTACTACCTCCGTCCCATAATGGTTGTCCACTTTCAATTTGGCACGATTATTAATAAAGTGGTTGAAAAGTAAAAGTTGTGGTTGAGATTTGAGTAGAATAAAGTGAATTGATAAGAACCACATATTTCATCCAAAAAAGGAAACAGGACATTCATTTTGGGACAACCCAAAAAGGAAAGTAGGACAACCAAAATGGGACGGAGGGAGTAACTTATAATGATATACTCAACAGTAAGGATATAATAATAATTTAGTGATATTTACAATTGAATTGATGCAATTTAAGAAGTGTGTTTTTATTTTCCATCTGATAAAAGCACAAAGAGGCAGGAAGGCAACAGTTTCCTGATTCTTTGTGCTGGTCTATCAGGCACGTCATCAAGTAGCATTCTAAAATGAGCTTTAAGTAATTCTGTAACTCCTTTTAAGTACTGGAGCAGTGGCATTGCCATGACAAATTTACAAGAAAAATACCAAGTCTGTAATGACTAATGACCCAACTTGGTCATGATTAGGAAATACCTGAGATATGTTGGTAACCAAGATAAACACGTATAATGACCCCAACTTCCACAAAAATGGGCATATATCATAGCCCATACAGCTTTAGATTGAAAAAATGCCTTCCAAGGTACATCCTATAGTTAAGTGTGAGAGTGAAATAAATCATCAAACCCAAAAAACAGCAATACAAAAAAAGTCCGAAAATTTTACTTCTGGAAGTTTCCCTTCAAACTGCTGAGGAGGGGCCGGGCAATGAATACCCCACTTCTTGTATTAAATCTTTAACAAGAATAATGTATTTGATACATGCACCATATTATGCTTAAATCCTATCCTCTTATCAATACATATTCCAAATTTGAATTATGCATCCTCTTAAAAATATGATTTACATATAAAACTGCAGAATACCTTCAGAGAAGCATCCACCTCTGATGATGAAGAACTCTTTGGTTTCTCTTCGGGCAAAAACTGAGGCCCTTTAACATATTGAGGGTTAGATTTGCTCAAATAATAATAATAAAACAAGTAGAAGAAATCGTGCTTACATGACAAAGGTGTTTTAAAGGAAAAGGGCTGTTCTCCTTTCACCATCTGAAATCCAACGAACCTAAAACAAATAGACAGTTTCTACTTTCATTAAAAATGATTGCAATGAAACGAGTACTTTCTCCAGAAATGAAATGTAACACCAAATGGCTTGCTTACCAAGCTATGCCAAGGAGGCCGAATATGTGAAAGACAGACTCCCAACCAAAGTTTTGAATAAGAGGTGGAGCCAAAAGAAGTCTGCAAGTTCATGACATTTTTGGTGAGTATGATTCTTTATGAAAATTTCAGCAGACATACATTTTATAAACGAAACATAACATGAGTTCACTGGCATGCCAATGTAATAATGACTATTTCAAGTGTAACTTATAGGCTATGTGGTTAGTGAAATAAAAGGCCTAGAGCCCCAGAGGTTGGAAAATAGCTACTACATGGCAATGAAAAAGGGAGAAAAACGGTACCCCATATGCATGTCAACTCTATAGTCTTTAAAAGGACTATGATAAGATGGAAAATGATACATCAATATAGCCCAGTCTTTCTCAGAGCTAGCATGTCTTGAAGATTCACAAATGTCTGGTCAAGGTATGCTAGCAGACATATTTATCAATATTCGCCCTCAAACTGGAACATATAGAAATTGAAATATTGGGTATTTTGCAACATCGCCAATTAAGAAAAAATACTTCCATTTTTACTCAATGATGACATCATTGTAAGGGGTAAGGCTCAGGCACACCTTGTAAATTTATTTAAATCATAATAAAAAATACAATATTTTTAGTGTAGCTTACTTTAGAATGTCAGGAACATTCTTTTGATCAGAACTTAGAGGTAATTTAATAATACCTGGTAATTCTTTCCTAAAATCAGAGACTCTATTTGTATGAATTTGATAAAGGGGTAAATCATGTAACACCGAGAGGACATATTTTTCTACAAAACATTGATAACTTGAAGCTTCAAAGATAATGGGAGTGTTGAAGCAAATATACCCTGTAACACTTCCAAAACTCAAACCACCAAAAACAAATGATACTGCCCGTGATCGCTCTTCCAATGGTATTGACCTATACCAAATTGGCAAATTCAACACCAGCATGAGAAGAATAAACAAAAACATTAAAGTAATAGAATGTCTATGAAAGCTTTCTTAGCAGAATTGAACTGCGGAATCTTAATTTTTTAATTTATACCATCAAACGAACATTCTCAATAAATGTAAAAGTAAACAACCATAAGACTGGGAGGGAAAGGACTTGTTATTCAGCTGCATAACAAACGATAGCTCAGTAAGTCAGTTTTAAGTTTTATTAGTCTCATGAATTAGAAAAATCTGGTGCCTAAGACTTCTTATGGGTTATAGACTTATAGTGGTGAGGCATGAACTGTACCTGTGAACCTTTATGGAAACTAATTTATTATAGGTATTGGCAAACGTGAGAACTTCACTTGTTTACTTATCATTTATTATATACTTCTGGTTAAAAAATCAAGATGTGAATATGTGATGCAAGGTATAAAGCAAAGTTGCAAATTACATAAGCACCAGGACAACCATGTAAAAGTATCCAGATTTTGGGAATACAAACAGAAGTACAGAGATCACAAGTTTAATAGACTAGAAACTATCCAAGATTCGTGCCTCTAAGTTCTTTTCATTCTCACATGCCTGGCAATCATGTCAGTGGCAGCGGATGGTGAAACACCTTCTCCAATACCAACCTGCATATACAAAATGATATGCATGCCGTTAATCCAAAATCAAAAGAGAGTGGTACTAAAACTCTGTAAACAAAATATTAGTTTCCTTGTTGAATCCACAAAGAACTCGTTGTGTCCGAATTACCATAATCCTTGAAAAAATTAGAGCAGGCATGAACCCAGAAAGAGTGGGAACGAGTGCTGTTGCGACTGACCAGGTAAGGACTCCAACTTCAAGAATCTTTCTGTACATGTAAAGGTGACCAATAAGTATATGGAAAAACTAGCAAGTACCCTTTCTTTCGACGATTAATCATATTCACTGTACAAATACAAAACCGATCTCATAAGCACGTTACCTGCCACCAAATATCTTTGCCAGCAAACCTCCAGGCAATTGACTTAATGCATAGCCCCAAAAGAAAGACGATTGTACAAGTCCAGCTACAGAAGAACTCCACCCAAATTCATGTGACATTGGAATTATGGCAACACTCAAATTCACCTAATATGTAAACCAAATATATCTCTTCAATGCCACTCATACCATCAAACACCAATTCGGAAAGACAATATCTTAAAATTGAGTCCTTAGTTTACGTCATTTTCTTTTCTTTCCTATGAAGCATGGAAACTTCCATCAGCCCCCATTTTGGGGGCGTTACCATAATTAAGAAGAATCGGGAAACCCATTTCCCTAAATAATTCGTGTTTCAGAAAGTTTGGGGTTTCCATTTTTTCTTTTTGATGGGTTTCCTTGATGAAAAATAGTGCATTTTTAACTTTTTCGTGAATTTTAGTGGGATTTCTTCATAGCAACACTGTGATATTTCATAGCAGAATGCATTGCTAGAAATGTATTGCATTTTATGTTAACTTATGTACTGATATGTTATAATTCCTGAGTTTGAAAATATGTAGAATGTATGTATTATTGGTTATCAACCGATGTTATATGAGAAAAATATGTGCATATATATACATGAAAAAAACATCCAGGCCTTATTCCCAAAAGATTTTGGGGTCGGGTAACATTAATCGATCCATGATATCGAAGCCAAAAAGAAAAGAAAGATAAGAAAAATAAAAAGATAAGGCAAGATAAAAAGGATAAGATAAAGATAAATATAAGATAAAAGAACATAAGAAAACTAAATGATAAAAATAACGTACAAACATAAGAAAGATAAAAAAGAGATAGAGAAAAGAGATCAATCCTCCACACGAATATTTGTCATTTTGTCCTCCACTTTGCTCTCTCAAAAGCCCTACTTTCATCCAACTCAAAAAGAAGCATCATATTTCCGTGTCTATAAAAAATATTTATAAATATATCCGTGTGTTTTATACGTAGTAATACTTATGTCTTTCCTCCATGACATGTATCATATACTTCGTATTTCTTAGAAATCCCATTTTTTGCATTTCTTGTTTCAAGTTTCCCATTTCCTTGCTACTTAGCTTCATTCGATTAGAGATGAAATGAATTTCTAAATCACGAACCATCCATGTCTCAGGTTGATTTATAAAGATAATGATATTTATGAGAACTCCATCTTGCAGCTTGCTAAAACATTGCAGACTTTGAACTTTGAAGCAATTGCGAGCTAAACAAACATATGAAACAAGGAAAACACCACTCCATTTGACTCGCCAGCATTAAATTGTCATAAAATATCTCATTATTAGCTCACTAAGCTTAGAAGTTATCAGCCAAAAATGAATTTTGACGGAATTTTCCAATTCTAGTCATCAATAAAACTTATGCCGAGTACATCAAAGCATGCTTAGGAAAGAGAACACTTATTACCTTATCCATGTTACAGATAACAAAGGCAAGAGCAGTAGTTCCCACAAGCTTATATCTTTGAGGAAGTTTCTTCCATGGTGGCCAACCCCATTTAAGCACAACTTCTTTCCCCCCACTTTCAGCTACAACTTCATCCTTAGAAGCTTCAATCAAACCACTTTTATTGCCCAATCCCCTATTTCGACCAACACTGTCGAGTGTTATCTCTGTTTCTAATCCGCTTTCCTTCTTGTCTCTGATACAGCAAACTCCGAATCTAAATCCATGTTTAATAGGCTGCACACTCGCTGGCTTAAAGAGTTTAGGTTTAAGGGTTGTGTACTGTGAAAAACAGCAGAAGTGGTTCTCTGTTCTTGGTGGGAACAGCTTAGCCATGGGCACTTCTTGCCGTTCTTTAGGAATACGAACGGCAAATAGTCAAATCCTGCGAAACATTGCAATAATATTGGAAAAAACTACGGGTCAATTCTCTTATCCGCCTTTTTTACTCTTGTATCGGCTCCTATTTTTTTCAAATGAATTATCACTTCTAAGTTCTAATTATACAAATATTACTCCGGCATATGTTTCTACTTTTCAAATTAAATATCCAAAATGATCAAATAAAGTTTCTTACTATTACACGATCTAGTGCTAGACTCGGGCCGGGCGGCCCGGCCCGGTTACTGTTTGGCCCGGCCCGGCCCGGGGCCCGGTGGGTCCACCGGTTCGGTTCGGTTCGGCCCGGCCCGGCTGCTGGGCGGTTCGGGCCCGGGCCCAGGTTTTGGTGAACCGGCCCGGCCGGTTCGGGCCCGGTCCGGGCCGGATTTTAATTTTTTTTTTTTTTGAATTTTTTTTAAGTTTTAGGTTGGATTAGGTATTTTGGGCCATTTGAGGTGGTTTGGGATGGTTTGGGGTTGAGGGGGAGGGGTAGGGGATTAAATAGGAGAACAAAAAAAAAATGGGCCGGTTCGGCCCGGCCCGACCCGGTTTGGCCCGGAACCGGGACCGGAACCGGCCACCGGCGGTTCGGGCTCGGGCCTCCCTTTCCTGGCCCGAGGCCCGGCCGGGCCCAGGCCCGAACCGGGCCCGAACCGGCCCGAGTCCAGTACTAACACGATCATCACATATAAGACCATGTATTCAATAAAGTATCATATAAATATATTTACTTATAAAAAATAATCAGATGAGTGCTAATGACTCATGGACAACCTCATAATTCTGACTTTAGCTTTGGTGTAGTTATTTTTGCCTTGTATTTATATTAGTCTTGGCTAAATATTCCACGTCAGACTTATAATCTATTTTAAAAAGATCGTCAGATGTACGCTAAATCTGGGATTACGAGGTTGTCAAAAGGTCAGTAGGACACATCCTAATGCTTTTTAAAAGTAGACGTATCTATATGATATTTTATTGAGTACATGACCTTATGTAACGATTTCATAATAGTAGAAGACCTTATTTGACCATTTTCTCAATTAATTACACTTCTAATAACTACCAAATTTTTATATACCGTTATGTGCATCTTCCTTTTTTACTCCGTATAATATTTCGTATGATGCGGAGCTCATTTAGTGACTCTGATTTTCGGCTTATCAGTTAATTTTTTAATTAAACACGTAACTTTTGATTTCGCGCATTGTGAATAGTTTAATGATAATAAAAAAGGATAATTTGAATTTGCATCACATTTTATTTTCCAAATTAGGCTTTACACTCATTTTTAATAATCTTTTTGTTTGCACCCAATCCCGTATGAAAAGACAAAAATGCCCCTGGATTAGAAATATGGATGGGGTGCAGATAGGAGTGGGCATAATGGTTTGGTTTAACCGAACCGAACCGTACCAAACCGAACTAAATCGAACCGAAACCGGACCATATGCAATTTGGTTTGAGTTTGGTACTATTTCTTTCAAACCGTATTAAACCGAACCGAACCGAACCGAAACCGATAAAAACCGAACAAAACCGAACCGAACTAAAGAAACTCAAAAAAACTTTCATATATTATAAAAATTGGTGGTTTGATTTGGTTTGGTTTGGGTTTACTTAAGTAAACTGTTTGGTAAACATATGCTCAAACCGAATGGTTTGGTACTTTGGTTTGGTTTGGGTTTACTTAAGTAAACTGTTTGGTAAACATATGCTCAAACCGAATGGGTTGGTACTTTGGTTTGGTTTGGTTTAAAACGGAAAAACCGTAAATTGAACCGAACACCGAACATCATAGACACACACACTTTGTATTTATCTTCACTCTTCATTTTTAAGATATAAATAAATAACTTGGACATGAAAATACATATTTAAGCATATATTCGTATCATTTTAACTTTTACACATTTCATACATTCATTATGACAAAGTTAGCTAATACGACATATTTGTATTTATTATGTTTGGCGATAACAATAGCAAATTGCATTTATATTTTAACATGATTCATTTGAATAAAATTGTGAATAATTGAATATTACAACATTTGTACCACCGACTCTTTTAGGGGTTTTGAATATTTTATGTGATATTATAAATGCTAATCAACTATCTTATTTTTTGTAGTGATAAAAAAGATGTTAGAAGTTTCAATTTATAATATTTTATTATTTATTTTTCTATCTTTTATTTCCTTTTACATTTTATTTAAATAATCAATAAATTAAAAAAAGATGAGATGGACTACTACTTTCATTTTCTAATTCTGAAATATAGAACTTGATCAAATAAAATAATAAACATAAGCAAACGAATCAAATCAAACTAAATTAAACATAATATTTTTTACTTTGGTAAACCGAACTTCAAACCAAACCGAACCGAAACCGAACCGAAACCAAACCGAAACACAAATGGTTTTAGTTTGGTACAAATTCTCCCAACCCGAATAAACCGAAACCGAACCGAAACCGAAGAAAACCGAACCGTAAACCGAGTTGCCCACTCCTAGGTGCAGACTCAAATCACTTCTTGAAAAAGTAAGGTTGAAGTTACTTTTCTGGTTGTATTGATCGTAGTATATAGTTTTTCTTTATTTTATTAATAACATATATTTTAAATATAATTTTTTAAATCAACAGAACAGCCAATAAAGATGAGACTACATAGTGGACGAGCATGGGTGGCTCTAAATTCTGATGGGTCAGTTATTCCTGAGACTGGACGAGCAGCTGCGGGATGGTTGTTCCGAGATTCCGATGGTCGCTGCTTAGTAGCGTACTCAATGAACCTGGGTTTTTGCTCGATCACTAGGGCTGAAATGAGAGCTGCTGTACAAGGATTACATTTTGCTTGGGAGTTTGGATATCGCCAGGTACGACTGCAATTGGATTCGCAGGCAGCTATTCAAATTCTGATGGAAGAAGGTGAGCGTGCTCACCAGCATTCTTCTGAGGTTGCACAGTTTCGCGAGCTTTTAAATCGTAATTGGACGGTCAGAGTTGAGCATGTTTATCGGGAGGGTAACCGGGTAGCAAACTTTTTAGCTAGCCTCGGCCATAGCCCATAGATTTCCTATTGGCGTTCATTTTATTTCTACTGTTGATTCTAGATTATCGTCACACATTCTGTATGACTTGTTTGGGATTTCCCAACCTCGTTTGATCATTAATAATGGGTAGGAGCTACCGAGCTAATGATCCTATGTTTCTACCAAAAAAAGGATAATAATGCTCCGAGAGTCCGAGTACTCAATGGCAATACAGTACTACACCACTACAAAATGTGAGTTCAAATTAGTAGCATTAGAGTCCATTTGGTAGCACGAAAATCGGCTACTTTGGCTAATTCTGCGGAAATTTATGAAGTTCTGGCTGAAGTGGCTGCATTGGCTGATTTAAGAAAAATTATTTTTTAAAATATATTTTATTAATAAAATAAAGAAAAAATTATTTGTAAAAATAGCTAAAATGGTCATCTACAATAACTTCAGCCAATACAGTCAGAAAAGTAACTCTAACCTTACTTTTTTTTGCTTATTACACAATTCAGCGCACAAAGCAAAATTTACGTGTTTGGTGAAAAAGTTGGTTGTTAAGCCTGATAAGCCGAAAAACAGTGTTCGAAACGAACTCTTAGTCTATTACTCTGACTCAAGAATGCAGTCACCTTTGTCTCTAGTAGCTCCACGTGACATCTTTCTTTTGTCTTTTATACGAGGATAAAATTTTGTTTCGAAAAAGTAGTATCTCACCTAGTCATTTTATCAAAGAGAATTTACCCTAAATAGGATTAAAAACGTTTGTAAATTCCAAAATGGGTCTGTCATGTTTTTAATTCCCAAAATGGGACTAATTACTGTCATGTTTTGGCAGTACCAGATTTTAAACATGGCATTATTTTCCAAACTTGACAGTAATTACTCATATTTTGGGAATAAAAACATGACACTCCTATTTTGGAATTTACACACGTTTTTTGTCCGAATTTTCCCTTTATCAAACTCCCTTCGTCCGAATCCGAGTCCTCCTTACATGATGTAAGCGAAATGGTATTGAATTTTGTTGATATTGAATTTTTAAAATGTCACTCCCAAGTAAGAATGAATCAAAATTGTATTGATATCATTAAATATGATATGAGATAAATCAGTGCCATGAACAAAAGAGATAGAGAGAACAAAGATAATGTGAGAGATTTGTTAGTTAATACTCCCTCCGTCTCATTTATATTGTCCCGTTTTACCTTTTCGGGAAGTCCCACTTAAATTGTCTCATACCATATTTGGCAAAGTTTGTGTAGCTCTAAATCATTCTTACTTTATTCTTACTTTATCAATTAATATCAACCACACAAACCCACATTTCTTAATAACTGTGTCACCCTCTTCCGTCCCAATATAAATGGGACGGAGGTAGTGTTACGTACTCTGTACAAAAAATACTACGTACTTAATATACGGTATTTTTTAAAGTAGCACAAAACTCATTCACTAACAATAACATGTCATACTTCAACCTTGTCAAGTATTGATTCAAATTTTCTCAACTATTGATTATAATCATTAAATTGACTAAGGTGAGTGTCCTTGGTCATAAATCAAACCCTTCCGAGTTTCGAGTTAAGACTTTAGTAGGCATGTATAACTAAGGACTTGGGATGAGCTTAGGCATGGACCTGGTTCAGCTGTCCGTGCTGGTCCAGAATTGGGTCCGGCACTGCGCGGGACCGTGGGGGTCCCTTTTTTTTGTTCCGGGCGACGACTTAGTATCTGGTCAAGTATATAGGGCACTCAATCCTGGTTTAACGATTTGGGGACCGAACTGATCGGCCCTGGTTCAATCTCGCTCCGGATTGGGTACTTTTTTTAACCCTTGGAACCCATCAAAAAAGATTAAAAAAAAAAGTGGGACCAGGTCCAGGTACCCGGAACCGGCTCAGAACCGGATTTATACAGGTTGAGTCTGGGCTTTAAATATTCATAACAGATTGGCAGGGACCGGGAGGTCTAGGCCCGGAACTGGGACAGAGCCGGATCAATGGCTAGATCAGCTTCTATGTGGCGTTGCTGGGAGCACAGTGCTTGTGGCACATCTAAAGTTCGAAGCTAGTACGATATGGTGATAGAAATTTTCATGATTTTCTATGGTACTTAAAAATACTCTTAAAAAAAATAAGACTCAGGACTCATATATTATTGTTACACCATATTGGCAACACCCGATCCCATCAGAGGGTTGTGGACCATGGTAGGGTAAAAAAAACTAAAAACCCACTTATCCTCGTCCGGTATCCACTTGCTTGGCTAAATATGCAATAAAATTACATTGTTAAGTATTTGCTTGGCTAAAGTTATGGTATTCAATCCGTTTCTAGGCTTCTAGCTCCACCTAAAATTTTAGAGGGGAAGAACCGAAGAAAGATTATAATTCTTTCTAACCCAATCCAAGAAAAGATTTACAAAAAAAAAAGGGAAAATGGAAACTAATAATCCAACCTTTTAGCGGTCTTCTTACAATAATCCAACCTTTTGGTTATTCATGAATAATCCAACTTTTGCACCTCATCTTCATTCACTGGTCCCTGACCGGTTGATGACCTGCTATTCCAAGCTATTTTCTTATCTTTGCAAATCATTATACCATAAATCTCATCTTTCACAAAGATAATATTTTGCAAAGATAAGAAAATAACTTGGAATAGTAGGTCATTAACCGACCAGGGACCAATGAATGAAAATGAGGTGCAAAGGTTGGATTATTCATGAATAATCAAAAGGTGGGATTATTGAAAGAAGACCGCTAAAAGGTTGGATTATTAGTTTCCATTTTCCCCAAAAAAAATGTTATTCCAGTGGATAATGATTCATCAATTCATTGTACACAAATTATGACATGAAAAACACTGCATTATGCTAAATTCTGGAACTCCTTTACTGAGCTAAATACATCACATTAACTAGAGAATCACATGTTTCGCGGGCCTTAGGATGCAAGAGATCACTCGCGAGGAATTCTTCAACCACGCCATTCACTTCTATAGCACTACATCCAGGTTTCTTCTTTAATCCAGACTTCTCAATCATTTGTCTGACCTTCCTAGCCTCTGCATCCCAGCCAGCCTCCTTATACATTATGTAAGAAAGCATGTGAGCGCCATAGGGGGCTGTCCTTGGATTAGAAGAGAGTTTTTTCCAAAATCTGTCACCAACTTCAACATTACCGTGTACCCTGCAAGCACTCAATAATGCCCCCCAAACATTAGGATCACCCTTTTCTATACCGCCCATCTTCTCTTCAATGAACTTCTCGGCTTCCTCTAACTTACCAGCCCTTGCTAAGAGATCTACCACACATGCGTCATGCTCAAATCTTGGTTTCACCCCATAAACACTACTCATTTTGTCATATAATATAAGGCCGCTGTCTATTAGTTTAGCATGAGTGCAGGCAGAAAGAAGAGAAACGAATGTGGTCTCATTAGGTTGTGCCCCACTTGACACCATTTCATCAAAGACCCGAAGAGATTTTAATGCATCTCCATTCATTGCAAATCCTGATAAAAGAGCATTCCACGATCCGGTATCTTTGCAAGATATTCCCTCAAAGACAGATAGAGCAAAGTCCATTCTACCACACTTCGAGTACATATCCACTATTGCAGTGGCTAAGATAAGGTTTGAATCATACCTGTGGCACAAGTAACAATTGAATGAACAATTGAATTTATTTGTGTTGATTATAGATAATGTATAGGCGGCCTATGCTGGACACATCACTTCATACCATAGGGAAGTGAGTAACAATAGCATAAGGTAAAGGATAAAGAGTGAATACTGCATATATAATATTTTTAATCATAATAATATTCATAATTCATAACATTCCAAGTACCTGTAACGCTTTGCCAAGGAGTGAATCCATAAGCCTTGCTCTAATGAGCCAAGATGAGCACAGGCTGTGACCGCACTCACAAGAACAGACTCGTTAGGACTCATTCCAATATCTTCCATTTTCTTAAATAACAATAAAACTTCTTTAAAATCACTAACCAGTGAATAAGCTGCCAGTATTGTGCTCCAAGAGATGACATTTCTGCTTGGCATTTCCTCGAATAGTTGTCTGGCTTTCTGGACCTTCCCAATTTTCCCATACCCATCAATCATTGTTGTCCACAACACCACATCTCTATCAGGAATTTCATCGAACAGCATACTGGCTTTATCCACATCAAGTGCCAACGAGTAAAACTCAATCAACGCACTAGCAATAAAACGATCTTGATAAAACCCTAGTTTCAGTATATGGGCATGTACTGAAGACCCCATTCCCTTAAAGACGTCTAAGACCATAGAGCATGCCTTGACAAGGGGTGTAAACGTATAATTGTTGACAATAAGATTACAGCTGAGCATCTCTTTGTAGCAAAGAATTGCGGACACAGGCAAATGGGATTGCACATATCCTCTGATCATTGTATTGTACAGGAATGTGCTTCGGAACTGAAGGTTCTGAAAAACGGCAGTCGCGTACCCAAAGAAAGTTGGGTTCTTTGAGGAGACGGCGAATGAGAAAAGCGGGACGATGGAGGAAGGGCTCTCGGGGAGTTTGAGCAGATGAGCATGAATTTGTTTGAGGTGGTTGAGGGTTGTGCATTTTTGCATGGAGAGAGGAATATGTTTGGATTGCTTAGCAAGTAACACTGACCTATGGCTCTATTCGAGAAACAAGAACTCCCTTGGTTCCACCTTTTCCCTATACAATGTCACGGCTGTGCTTAGCCTGGTTCTGCAGTTTTGCCTCAGCCCTTCTCGATGTTGAGCTTTGTTGTCCTTTACAGAGAGGAGTGAATCCCGGCAAGAACTTCCGACCTGGACAGTAAACAAAAAAAGGGTACAGGTATAAGGACGGTACAACTGTACAAGTATCAAAACAGCCGGAAAAAAGTCAAAAAATGTCCCTAGAATATCAGGGTATAAAAATAAAAAATTTACTCCGTATCACGTAAAACAAAGTTTCCATAATCAAAAGTAAAAATTGATAGAGAAACTAAATGCTTTTGAATTTCAATAAAAGTATAATAAGTGGTCGTGGGTTCGGGTACTGGTGTCTTTGAAAGTTCGATTCCAATGAATCATAAGTCTGTCAGGACTCAAGGGGGCCTTATGCAATGACGGAGATTGAAACTAAGGGCGGAAAAAACAGGGTGGGAGAGAGCTCTAGGCAATAGGCTCGCCCCGCAAGTTGAAGAGACTCAAGAGGACTCAAGCTCTCAAGTTTATTTTTCTGTTTTCAGTTCTACGATTAATTCAAGGGCTAAAGTGGCATTAAGTAAAATAGTAGTTCTATTTGGGTTTTAAAAAGTTGACGGTCCTATACGGGTATATAAGTAGAGTTATGGTCTTATTTAAGACCATTTCTCTTGTGTCACTTCTCATATGGCTATCAATGATTCAATTCTGTCATTTCCGTGGAGTTCGCCGTGAAACTACACCAACACTTCGGTCTCTTCTCCGCCTTAGGTTCCATACTCATCCTTTGCCACCATGCCTAACCCACAGTTAACGCTCCATCGACATTAATCTTACATCAAGTATTACATTATCTTCATTTTAATCATACATCAAGTCTTACTCCATTACTCCATTGGTTTAATAGAGCGAGAGTTTTGCTTATCAAACCTGTTTGATTTTGGGGCAGAGTGGCAGACAAGGGCCATAGCACACGGTCCACACCCATTAAAATACTTCACCACAATTTTAAAATTTGTTGTGATTTTAAACAATTCTACATCAATTTTATAATTATATCTACAATTCAAACTTATTTGCCATAAAATTTTACAATTTAAATTGCGAATATTGGTATAGATGTGTGCATTAGTGCGCACATACTGAGACGTGCTTATGAGAACCCAATTGGTATAAAACAACTTAAATACGAAATATATTTGTTAATTACACATACACCAGACAAATAGCAGGTAAATGTATGCTCAGAGCATGTCTAAAGGGGTTACACCATAATCATTGTTGTGAGTAGAACTTTGAGTGCACGTTTGGGGTGTATAGGCTCATTTACACTCTACAGATACAACTTACATAACTTTTATAAGGAGTATCTTTTAGGCAAAATAGGAGCCATGTACAAAATGAATTTTCCATGTCAAATAACTAAAAACTGAAGGAGAAATTTGTACTATAACCTTGGTCTGGTGTTGACCTAGAGTGCACTCTGATCTTGCATTCGAGCTTGCATTCAAGATTTCGAGTGCTCTCATTGGCATCAGCAAGTCAGTGTAGGATCATGTGATGATTTATTTGCCCTTACTCCAACCCATTATTATTGTGCTCAAATACAGTAGACTGTACACATCACACTCCTACAAGCATGTGGCAAAGCAATCATTCTGACCTTGTATAAGTGAGTCTAGTCTAGACTCACTGCTATGTTTTCTTTAACACTTGATGCTTTTCCTCAATGGTATGGCCTAAACCAAAGTTCATATGACAGTACTTAATATGGAAATCATTATTGTACTAAAACTAAGTTTAGAAGAACATGAGTATAGGCCAGCCCCGAATCATTGAATATCAATACAATAAACTACACATCTCCATACTATGAATCCATAATTTCAAATTTGCAATCGATCAATCAGTTCAGCTGCGTTATTTACTCTTTGGCAGGCACTAAATTAAAGTCTAACAAATTAAAGTCTAACTGGATTGCTCGACATGTAACAAGTATTCATTTTATTCAAATCAACTGCTTGAGTGAGACTCAACTTTCTTTAATCAATAACAACATCCAAAGTCTTAGTCCCAAAAGAGTTTAGGGTCAGCTAACAAGGACGAAAACCTAAAATTTCTCAATAGTAAAGAATAAAATAGATAATTAAGCTCAAAATAACTTCTATAAAAGGCTGTGAAGAATCAAAAAAACTTTTCAGAAGGAACAAAAGGAGAGGGATTTAGGATCAGCGACAAGGTTGTATCATTGCTAGAGCATAATGGTGGCAAGAGAATACTGTTGGGAGAATTCTAGATTGACATTCAATGGTAGAAAGCAATCCACGCCTTTTTAATCGACCCACTACCAAGCTTAAAAGCATGGTTTGTTTGCTGTAGAAGAGGATGCGATGTCACAATGCAATAACTTGAACAAATGACAGGGGCCCTCTTCCTTTTAACAAATTATATCTCATTACCACCATCACTTCACCTAGCTCAGACCTTTTACTTATTGACATCATTTCCATTTTCGTTTTAAATCCAACATGAAAAGAATATATAAATTGAAGTAAAGCTTGAATCGTGATCATAAGAATTAAACTGACAGTTTTAGAAGATGCAGAATAATGGTGCACGAGAAGCGGCAGCCACCTCCACTGCCTCCGCCTCCGCCGCACCGTGAACGTCCCTAACTTTCGGTGCCATAGATCCAAGCAATCCACGCCTACACTCTTCGTTGAGGAACCATAACAAGCGCCGAATACTCCGTTTAACCCGAAACCTCAACTGAAATAGTCAAATATATGCACTGTAGAGTTAGGGCAATCTTTGTCCATTTCGCTTGTCCCCATTAACTGTTGGGCTCAACATACTTTACTTCGGGCCGTGAGAGGATTGCAATAACAAGAGATTTAAAAAAAAAGGTAATTCTATTTACAGCTAATCACAGCCACTAAATTAAATATTAATAAAATAAATTAATTAATGTATCCAAATTACCCTTATGTAGAAAAATAACTCACTGGGGGTTACGGAGTCAGCCAAACCCAATTCATTCAGCCCCATACATCGATTACACAAACAGAGAAACTCCATTCAATCCACCAACACAGAGGAACTCCATTGAAATAAACTTGAAAGGAAGAGGGAAAAAATTACTCCAAATTTTCAAAGATGAACGAAAAGGATACCGGGAATCAATTTCAAATGAGAGAATTCAACTGCGCCGCTCCTGGGTAAACAACTACAGTGGTTCCGAACAAAATCAATGAATCAAAAAGCTCAACAAAATGATTTAAGAGTAAAGCTGACCGGCCTGATTCTTCGATAGGAACAATTATCTTGCCGGAAAATAACCGGAATCCCTTCTACCCTTCCTATGTTCTAGTTCGAATTTCGGAATATGACCAAGTCTATGGGGATGGAGCCAGGTAGTCGAAGAAGAAGCAGTAGAAGGAGGGACAGTAGGATCTTCATTCACTTTTGATAGATCTACGCAACATCATTTCCAATTCAAGGAGCTTCAGGTAGTTTGAAGGCGAGAGGATGAGTGGAACGGAGGCTGTGTGTATGATCGAGTTGATTTAGAAGCTGTTCCGTTCACCTGATCTGAATGTTTCTGATCTGAATTTTTTAAGTTCTGATCTGATCTGAATTTTTCTGATCTGATCTGATCTGATCTGAATTTTTCTGATCTGATCTGATCTGATCTGAATCTTTCTGATCTGATCTGAATCTTTCTGATCTGATCTGAACGTTGCTGAACTGATCTGAATGTTGCTGATCTGATCTGATCTGATCTGAATGTTTCTGATCTGATCTGAATATTTCTGATCTGATCTGAATTCTTCTGATCTGAATCTTTCTGATCTGATTTGAATATTTCTATAATTGTAATTATAATTATAATTATTAGATTTATAATTGTAATTAAAAATATAACTTAAATAAAATTACAATTATAATCATAATTATAAAAAAATAATAATTAAAATTAAATTTAAAATTATAATAATTATACCAATTACACTAATTATAAATACAGATACAATTATAAATGTAATTATATTTTTAATTATGATTAATTTTATAATTATTTTTTTTGTAATTATAATTATAATATTTATCTCTATAATCATAATTATATCTATAATTACTAATTTAAATATATAATTACTCCGAAGTAATAATAATTACAAAAATAACAACAAGAACAACAATCATATTAATAATAATGATGATTATAATTATAATTACATTGTAAATCATAATTATAATTATAATTATATTATATTATATTATATTATATTATATTATATTATATTATATTATATTATATTATATTATATTATATTATATTATATTATATTATATTATATTATATTATATTATATTATATTATATTATATTATATTATATTATATTATATTATATTATATTATATTATATTATATTATATTATATTATATTATATTATATTATATTATATTATATTATATTATATTATATTATATTATATTATATTATATTATATTATATTATATTATATTATATTATATTATATTATATTATATTATATTATATTATATTATATTATATTATATTATATTATATTATATTATATTATATTATATTATATTATATTATATTATATTATTATAATATAATAATAATTTATATTATTAACATTATTATTATATTATTATTAATAATATTATTATATTAATATATTAATATTATTAACAACAACTATAATATAATAATCATAATTAATATAATAATAAAAGTGATAAATCATGTTTGAATTTTTTTATCTGATCTGATCTGATCTGAATGTTTCTGATCTGATCTGAATGTTTCTGATCTGATCTGATCTGGTCTGAATCTTTCTGATCTGATCTGAATGTTGCTGATCTGATCTGAATCTTTCTGATCTGATCTGAATGTTTCTGATCTGATCTGATCTGATCTGAATCTTTCTGATCTGATCTGATCTGATCTGAATCTTTCTGATCTGATCTGATCTGATCTGAATAAAATAAGATTAAGGAATAAGTAATAAGATTAAGACGAACGGAACAGCTTCTTAGATGGGTGTGAATAGTAAATGTGAGGCTGCAAATAGAATTCCCCCTAGTAACCTTTTTTATTTGAAGTTACTTTACTTTGGGCTCAACATTGAACTTTTTACACTATTTACATATTTTACTTTGATTATATTTTATTAATTAATGTATTATAAATTAAATTTTTTAAAAATATTGTTAAACTCTTCTCATTCTAAATTTTCAAAATATGAATTTTTTAAAAATTTTACTAATAAGGAATAAAAGATATTAATGGTCAAACTTGTGCATTGTCAAACGTGAAATGTTGACCGTTGCAATTAAAAAGGAACGGGGGAGTATGTCTATTTGCTAAAATGTTGAATATATTGGAAGTTTGGAATTACGATTTTTTTTAAATGTTTTATTAAGTGTTTTTTGGTATAGAGTCCCATGACCACAACTCTATAAATATGCCTTCTTGCCTGTCTGTTTGGTATCCGAAAATAATCGCACCATCTATATTATCTTCGAGGGGTGTATTGAAAATGGATTGGGGTAGACTTTTTTTAATCCATTGACTTCTAAAAAAGTCTACGGACTTTTAAATCCATAGACTTTTAGCTCGCTAACTTTTAAATCCGTAGACATTTTAAATCCGTGGACTTTTAAAATGAATGACTTTTAAATGAATGACTTCTATGGATTTCAATAAATCCAGACTTTTACTTGGACTCAACAAACCAGATCCAACCAGACGAGACTTTAACAAAGCAAACCAGACTTTAAGAAATAAAAATCGCTCCATAGAAAATATGACAAATATAATAGCTAATGTTCTCTATTCCGAATGAGGTCAAGCATAAGCATTAAAAAATATAAGAAAAAAATGTCATCAGTGCACAAAATGGGAACAAAAGTCTTGTGCTACTGAACTATGGATCAAAATTATTCATTTTCTGCGGCTGCCCACGTTTGAGTTGCAAGATTCATCTTCCATTCATTGGCCTTTTCCCTCTGTTGATCTTGTGTCTGAAAATTATCCCATTCAAGATTGTCCTCATTATCGCTAGGTGGGTCTTCTTCTGGCTCCGGAGGAAATTCGTCAGATCGACATTCACGTCGAAGAAAATTATATCCTCCTGCATCACTGTTAAAATTTACTTTTAAATATATAAAACCCACTTTTATGCTCAATATACAAACCCACATATATAAAACTATGAACTGCTTCTATAATGTGATCCCAAGTCATGAAACAGTAAATTAACCTTATTGCTAGTGGAGTATCATAAAAACAACATTGCTCAGACCAAAAATCTCCATATTCTGGGTTGGAAGAAGTTTCAATATGGGAGAGAGTGAGAGACAAACATGATAAATTGATTATAAGGGGCAAACAAGATGTTCGATATTGTAAAAAGCAGCAAACAAGAAGTGCTCTTTTATGTCATTAAAAATGTTGACCAATTCAATTTACAAGTTCAAATTATAAAATATACTCGTAGCTTTCACAAGTTCAAAATGCATGCGGCACAACATGGATAAATCTATCTTCACAAAAACCACACAATATGAATATAATAATAATCAAAAGATCAATTACCATTAGAAGAAAAAGTAACGTGCAGAAAAAAGATTCACCATGATTGGGAGCCGAATACCGTAAACACGGAATAATGATATCACAATTTCTAATAAGCAACATAACATATAACTGGGCAGGAATAAGAATAGAAAAATCACAGCATACACCCCGTAATATGTATATATGCGCAGCAGAACATAGAAAAAAGGTGTATAGAGGAAGATCAAAAGAAACATACAGAGAAAAAATCCAAAAACAAGTAACATACCTGGGACAAAGTAGTTTTTGGCAAGCTGTGCGAGACAGGGAAGCAGGCTCAAGCAGCGAGAAACCCTGTCGAAAGAGTCAGCGTGAAATCTTTGGGGGGAGTACGAGACAATTGAATGGAATTAGTATTTATACCAATTGTTCTAAAATCCATGAGAATCGACTGTTTTTAAAATCCATAGGATTTCTTAATTTTTTGAATACACCCGTATTTCTATTGACTTTTAAAAATCCGAATTGAATGAAAAAATTCCACTTTTGGTCCCATGACTATGATGCCACTTTCACATTACTCCCTTGACTTTCAATTTAACCAAATCTAGTCCGTGACCTTTTCCCCTTCACCTCCCGTCGTCCTTCCGACCACAACTCCGGCAAAATTTAACTGGAAACCAATTAATGAAGGTTAGTTGCGTCATTTAATAGCATTTATAGGTTTTCTTATCGAAAAATTCCACTTTTGATCCCATGACTATTATGCCACTTCCACATTACTCCCTTGACTTTCAATTTAACCAAATCTAGTCCGTGACCTTTTCCCCTTCACCACCCGTCGTCCTTCCGACCACAACTCCGACAATTTTTAACCGGAAACTCATTTATGTAGAAATATTGGGGGCATTTTAGTAATTGCATGTTGTTAAAACGGCTACCTACAAAATTAACTTCAATTAATGTTGTGTTAATACGCCGGCTTCCTTCATTCTCAAAATCGAAGTCTTCTCCAATTTCCCAAACTTCCGTCAGCCTGGAAAATCCTCAACCATCGTTCGAACAATGAGGACCCGTCCGGACCGTCGGAGTGAAGGAGAAGGAACAAGTGCGACGTTCGCCAACAAATGCTGGTGATAAAGGTAAGAGGCTGAACTTTTTTTAAAAAGAGTGGAAGAAAGTAATGAATACAAGGCTGAAATGAGGTGTATATAATTGGTGTTTGCCCATGTTAGGGGTTTTATGTTGAGGCTGAAAAAGAGGTTTTTTTTAAAGTTCAGCCTCTTACCTTTATCACCAGCATTTGTTGGCGAACGTCGTTCAGCACTTGTTCCTTCTCCTTCACTCCGACGGTCCGGACGGGTCCTCATTGTTCGAACGATGGTTGAGGATTTTCAGGCTGATGGAAGTTTGGGAAATTGGAGAAGACTTCGGTTTTGAGAATGAAGGAAGCCGGCGTATTAACTCAACATCAATTGAAGTTAATTTTGTAGGTAGCCGTTTTAACAACATACAATTACTAAAATGTCCCCAATATTTCTACATAAATGAGTTTCCGGTTAAAATTTGCCAGAGTTGTGGTCGGAAGGACGACGGGTGGTGAAGGGGAAAAGGTCACGGACTAGATTTGGTTAAATTGAAAGTCAAGGGAGTAATGTGAAAGTGGCATAATAGTCATGGGACCAAAAGTGGAATTTTTTCGATAAGAAAACCTATAAATGCTATTAAATGACGCAACTAACCTTCATTAATTGGTTTCCGGTTAAAATTTGCCGGAGTTTTGGTCGGAAGGACGACGGGTGGTGAAGGGGAAAAGGTCACGGACTAGATTTGGTTAAATTGAAAGTCAAGGGAGTAATTTGGAAGTGACATCATAGTCATGGGACCAAAAGTGGAATTTTTTCCGAATCGAATACATCTAAACTTTGATGGACTTTTAAAAGTCTATATTCAATACACCTAGATTTTTAAAATCCATGGACTTCTA